CTAGAGCTCTGCAGCAAGAACCCTACTAGGAATTGTATGTGTGTGCCAGCATAAGAGATAATAGCCACTCCCCCTTGTGGGACCCCCTCTTTAATTTTTCTTGGTTTGCAGGTTTTATCTCTAAAAATTACCGACGATTCTCGACGACTCAGAAAATTCGCTGACCATCGTTTGAGTGCCTGTGCGAGAGAGGAAGCCTCAATGTCTTCTAATAGCGTGGAGTGGCTGACGCCTTTGACAGATCCTCTAGCCCTCATATTAAGACTTTTTGGCAACTCCGCCATCAGTCTGCCGCCCTACCGTCTTATCGTCGCCCGGCGAGCATACGTACAACAACAACTCATTACATTATCTCAAGTCATACAAAATTATGACAACCTGTTTATGCAACAACAGTCGTGTTGCAGATACTCGTACAAATGTTTGTGAATTGAAGTGGCACACGGAAATGTGTGATGCAACAAAAGTGAAAGTAATAGGCAACAAAAACAAAAAAAAAAAACGCCACAACAGCAACTAAAAGTAAGTACAATGCAGCAATTTCATTGCATCGGGTTTCCTTTTAAGAAGCTGCCATAAATAAATATACTCAGGTATTGTTGTAAGTATATGTATATATATATATATATATATATATGTGTATGTATGTGCAATCACAAGTAATGCTGCCATAGCAATTCACTCAAAAGGCGCCTAGAAGCACACCTCTAAGTGCACGTGGTGCTTACATACATACATACTTACATGCGGCATTTGTGCGTTGCATTTGCTTTCTTGGCTGTTGTGCGCGTGCTCTCATATCAAAATGATGTTTTGTGTTAAAAGAAAAATATTAAAATGCACACTCATGGAAATTTCTTGCACCATATGCACACACACACATACATACATACATACATACATATGTATGTAAACAAAATACGTGTACGCTCGAGCGCTACTCCCTTGGACTTATATATTAATTTTCACTTTATTTTGCTGTAGCTTTTTGAAATGTTAAACCGTTTCTGGCATATTGCATCCTCAGGAGTTGGTGCGTGGCGTTGGTGTTGATTTTGGTACTGGTGCCAGTGCCGTTGTTGTGGCGCTGGTGTGAATTCAGTCGTCGTCGTAACGTGCGAGGATACCACACGCGCATTGAAGGCATGCACCTTGGCAGGCGGTGTTGGCAGGTTTGTTGGCTTTAGGTTGCAATGGCGCACGTTGTAAAATTCTCGTGATTGATATGTATATGCATACATATGTATGCGCCTAGATTTGTATGTACATACATGTACGTGTATGCAGTTTTTTCAAGCTGATGGTATTACACCAAAGGTTTCGTGTAGGTACTCAAAAAAACTTAATATAATCGAGTTGTGGCTGGAATGTGGCAGATGATTTAACTTTTGTGCTTTATGTTTTTAATTGTGTTATGTTCATATACATAACAGATAGGAATATGTATATATGAAAGGCCACTAAAATTACAGCAGCCAAATAAATTTACTGTTCTTAAATTAAAGTTTCTTCTTCCTAATTGTTCTTGGTTTGTTTGGGAATACCTAAGTAGTCCTTTATTTTATTTAGCAATTTATTTTATTTTAGTAATTTATTTAATTATTTCTTGGAAAAAGGAAATAAACAAAATTAGGTCTTTGTCAAGACGACTTTTACATATCCACATATCGCCCCATATCAAATTCATTATTTTTCTTGACTTTCTCTATTTTCCTTTAATTACGCCAGAGTGAATATTGATTCACTCAGACAAAAAAATACTCCAATTTGAAGTACATAAATACATATTCATACATGTGTATTATTTATATATGTATGTATATAAGAAAAGTGTCTTAACTCAAAAATTCCCTTTTTTCAAAAAACCTAAAACTCAATATAATCTGAGCTCATCTTAAAAATATTCCCAATACAGTCTATACTGTGCACTTTGCCCGTCCAGTAGAACTTATCTGCACTCGGTATGAGCAATGGCAAAATTTAACCAAGTAGTGATGCATTTGGTGATGTTTTTGCACCCGACTCAAACCGACAAACGCTTGGTAGTACCAAATAGGACGAAGAAATAGTCTTTCTGCAACAAATTATTGTACCATAAAATGCTGATTGAGCTTTTACGGGGAGCTAAATATAAGATATGTGAAAAATTCTATTTCATAACATCAAAAATGGTAATTTTTGATATCAAATACTTTTGAAGAACATGTGCGATACGAATAATTTTGTGAGCATGTATGTATGTATGTATGTACCCTTGTGGTCAGCTGATTGAATCTAGTGACATTTTAACTAGTTTTGGCTACTTTTTTATTTTGTTTATTTATTTTTTATAATCTTATAATAAATCCGAATTCGGATAGCAAAATTACCAAATATTAAGCGGTTATCCGGATAACAAAATAGAACGGAGATGAACCGTATACACGAATATTCGAATAACCGATATCCTAAAAGATAATTATTTTTTTTTTAAACCTATCCCACATTAATGTGAGGCCCTTGGAAAACAAGACAACCATCCTAATATGCACTTTTGCAGCAAACAGAGAAAATCGATCAGGCAAATTTTCCATGCTAAAATATGTTTGTGTAACGTTTTGTGCTGGGCTGTGTGATGCTGTGCTATGCCGTCAGATAAATATGCCAAACAGAAATTGAATATCGAATTTATGATACCCACAGGTCGTACAAACACGAGCATATACAAATCCATTTTTACACACACACACTTATACGCATGAGCTCGCATCCGTCCACCACTGCGCCCCAATGGATTTGCGCGTATTTTAGTTTTGTATTTGAAAACTTTGTAACACAAATTGAAAACGCTCGACGTCCGTGTGTACGCTGAGCCGTAAAAATTGAAATATGTCAGATTTGCCAAGTTAGCTTTGGGCGCTAAAATCCACACGCGTTTTCGACCCGCATCGGCGGTTATGATTTGCTTAGTTAGTTAGTTAGTTTGGTGGTACCGCGCTGATCCAACGCTGCGATGGGTTCCGCGCGGCGTACATATTTACTGTCAACCGCACAATTTGTGATGGGCTTTTGCCGTAAGCTGCGAGTCCATATCCAAATGTTCAGCTCAAAGAGTATATCGCGCTTTTAAATCGCCCGCCACAACTGAATTTGTTTTTGATTTAGTGCTTTACGGGACGGCTGCGAAGGGTGCTTGGAAAACGCAGTTGAGTAACGGCTAAATTGAGTTTTTCGTCTGCCGGAAAATGAAATTACAATCAGTTTTATTTTGGGATGCGCGGAGGTGGAAGGAATCGATGAATTTGTGTGGGCCAGTTTTGGGCGAACGCCAAGGTGGAAGTATCATTCAGTGATTTTTAGATAATAATTCAAGTACTGCTATCGAGCGGCGAAATCGCTTCATTATTTTTTTTCGATGAATTCGCAAGTGGCTTAAAAACGTTTTGATTTTATGTGTGCGGGGCATTTTGTCAATTAATAACTAAAGTTATATTGGTATTGCACAAAAGTGTGGTAACGTATTTTGACTTCCGCCCGCGCCTTATATTTCGACAACAAAGTTAATTTGCAAATTTTTCACAGATTTTAAATTAAACGAAAGCGGTTGTGTTACTTACCAGCTGTTTTTCTATTCAGTTATTGGTAGTGAGATTTACGTGGCGGGTTGTAGGCTGAGCGCCCAGCCAATTGCTGGGTGCATCTTCCAAATTTTAGTGTGTAACGTAGCATTTTTTGCACTACTATATACCACTAACAATGCTCTGCTAGACTGCACACATATAACCAACGGTAAAAACCGCCAGCAATAGAAGAAGAGCGTATTCAAATTAACCACCATCCATTTCGTTCGCTGAACTGGTTGCGACCGCGCTCACCAATTAATTCTCAACCAGTGCGCACCGCTGTAATTATAAAGCATTAAACTTGTGCGTGGTCAGGTTAGTCTTGCTAGATCACCGCTGTCATCTTGCCCTCACCCGGGAATAGTTTGCCAGGTAGTCCGTAATCATTGAGAGCCATTCGCTGCCGATGAGGATCTTCTGCGCCGATACCCGGTTCTCTCCCCTCTGCTTGAACGAAAGGTTGTCGGCGCTCTCGTTACGGAGCGGTGCATGGTTTATTTGCCGGGGGTTAGAGGCACCTTCGTATGTAAATGTATATGCATGTAAATTGCTAACGTTGCCCAGGGTGCAGGAAAGGGTTTCGTTGGCATCAAAACCATCATAGACCGAGACTCACCACAGAGTGACCCTGTTGAGCATACCCAGTTAGTTATGGGATTTATGTCCAATCCCGATGGTAGATTTTAGTGGGTATATTAACATATTATTTGAAATCGGCGTTTCTCAAATGTCGTTAAGAGAGAGAGTTAATCCTCAAATTCTTGTCTGAGAGTATCTTGAATTATGGAGATTAAGACCCCAAGATCTAGGGCAATAGTAATCGCTATTGTAGACTAGCTCACCTGCTGCGATTGCGAACAACGACAAGCTAATGAGAAAATGGTTAATTCTAAGGCTTTGCACCCTACAGCAGTAACAAAATCCGGCTCAGTTTTCAGGTTTATTAACTCACCTCGTGCATTGGTAGTCCTGCTGTATTTCTTCGGAGCCATTTTGCACACTTATTTCCGACCAAAGTCAAATGAACCCTTAGATTAAATGTAACAAAAGCTGCATTCGCTAATCTCAAAATAATTTCGATTTAATTTTTAGTAATTTATATTTTGCATAAAATTCGTATGTTTTTAATAAATATGTAATTAAATTTTTATCGAAGCCACGCTCTTCTGCAGTTCTTCTTTGGCTGCGCATTCCTTTTGCCTCTATGCTTCACCACCAAGCTATGCATATTTATAGGCGCTCGCACTCAGGACCAATTAAATTTTCTAACTAAGCGCCAGACATTGAAAAAAAATAACATTAATCTCACTAATTTGTAAATTCATTTACAACCCATAATTCAATGCCCTCTCTTCCTTCCCATCTCCGTTCTTTTCATTCCTTGCCAGACGCTTGCGTTTACTTTTTCCTTTCATCCGCATTCATGTGGCATGAAGGCGCATAGTGCCCCCACTCTTTCAGCTCATTGCACAGGCGGTTACCCGGACAGTATGTACCTTTCACTTGGCGATGGCCTGGCAGTGCATAGCTTCGGTGAATGTAACCCACTTGCACGCCGTAAATTATAAGTTTCTGCAGTTTAACCAACATAGCGCTAGGCGGCAGAGTGTCTGTTGGCGATATAAAAGAAAGGGCAAGTGCTCATGAACGTATTTAAGGATATTAAATATTTCTACATTATTTGGAAAATTTATTAAAATATGATTCAACAATTACCGCTCCCATTTTATCACAAATAGATCTGCTACTCGCATATGCTACACATCGTATTGCAGCTTCTAAGCTAGCTAGCTGACATGAACTTGTGCAATTCATAATCTTAACTACTTTCCGCTCTTCGCTTTCCGCTTGCATAATTGGCAATACCGTAAATCGCACTCGCCATTGCGCAATCATTCAAATCACATGCAAGCACCCAAGTCATTCTGCCGCACTCACCTCGCTGGCCACAAATACATCTTAGAAGTGAGTGATATTTCATACCAGCAATCACCTTGTTACGCCATCCCACTTCGTTGCAGCTTTGCTCCACTCAATCACACCATTGCCTTTTCCCTTTTTCCGGCACTTAGCCACTCACTCACCTGTCCAATCGCCAATTAGAACGATTCCAACACTCCGCGCATTGTAGTCGACAGCATGTGCCCCCCCCACCACGTCGAAGCCACGCCCTTCATAAATCTCAGCGCGGTCATCACTGCCACCGATTAGGAAATTGTAACCGATGTCATCCCAACCGCGTTCCTGCTGATGCGTGCGTGGTGTGGCGCGTACGGTGGCTGCACATGCGTTGGCGTTGCGTCGACATGCGGCCGCTGGTGTTGCGGTGTGATGAATGAGCACATGTGACACGCCATCCACGCCACCGTTGCGAGTGGGCGCGTGATGCGGTGATGCCGCCTGCCAAGCGCTGCGAATTGTCCATTTCAAATTGTATTTAGCGCTGCTGTGGTTGTTGTTGCTCATATTGTTGTCTACTGTTGTTGCAGCAACTCGATTGCGATACTGGAAGGTTGCCGATGCTTTCGTGTTGGTGGTCGCGGTTGGCGCTGCCAAAAAGTACAGAAAGTAAGTGTTGAAAATGTTAAGTGGGTTCATGCAGAGGCGAAGATTTATTATTCTCATTCGATATGAATTTGTACACCTGTGCTGGATAAAATGCGCGGGAACTATGTTTGAAATGCGAAAATAAAGAGAGGGAGTAGAAGAAATGGCAGAAGCAGTAGGGGGTTTGTATCGAAGCATGCCCAAAATTTAGGTATGTATACATCTCGCACTTTTAATCATATACAAAAATATTTCGACATTTCAATTTTGTGGGAAAACGCAATCAAAGTCAAAAAGACAGTTAAATAGACCAATATCTTCACCATTTTTGGGAAGTTAAGCCATCTTTTAGGCTGAACATGTTCTACTTATCAGGTTTATTAATTGTATGAAGAAATCTCCAAAAAACGTAAATTTTGAGTTACATCTCTATATTATTAAACATGCGATCTCAATGTTTGTGAATTTTATATGCGGGGCTGAAATTATAGTCAACTGTACAAATCGCTTCAGCGTCAAATGTCGCATGCTGCTAGGCGCACTATTGTTGACTTGGCTAAAATAGAGCTAAAAAAAAGGAACAGTCCAGTCCTTTCGTCTTGGTCTGCAGTTTGTATCGAAAAAAACAATGACGATAATAAAAGCGATAACAATATCGTTAGCAAAATCGATAATAAAACCGATAAAGATATCGATAGCAAAATTGATAAAAATATCGGTAACAAAACTGATACAAATTCTGATGACAAAATCGATGAAAATATCGACAACAAGATCGATAAATATGTCGACAACAAAATCGATAGCAAAATCGATTATAATATCGATAGCAAAATCGAAAACAAAATCGATAAAACAACCGATAACAAAATCGATAAAAAAATATCGATAACAAAATCGGTACAAATATCGATCTTTATATCGATAAGTTCCGAAAATATCGGTAGCAAAATCAGTAACAATATCGATAACAAAATCGATGAAAGTATCGATACCAAAAGCGATAATAATATAGATTGCAAAATCGTTAACACAATCAATTAAAATATCGACAACAAAATCTATAAAAATATCGAAAACAAAATCGATAGCAAAATCGATAACAAAATCGATAACGAATATGATAAAAATATCGTTAAAAAATATCGTTAACAAAATCGATAAAAATATCGATCGTTATATCGATAAGTTCCGAAAATATCGATAGAAAAATCAATAACAATCTATTCTTTATGCTTATTTTTGTTTTGATTTTTATGTTTATTATATTCATACCGCTTCACCGCCGTTCGCTGTAATTCTGGGTAGAGCTTTAGTTAATGAGCAAATTTTTGAAAAGTAAAATCAATTTCAATTTAAGTCTGATTTAGCCGGAAAACCAAATGTCATCAATTACTCATTTAATTTCGCTATTAATTTTTTCTAAGGTGTCTGTATAGCTCTACGGATTTGCTAGAGCTCTGGGGCGAGTATTCAAAATGGTATTTTATAGAGAAAAGTTCAATTCCGCCACTCACGCAAAGTCACAAAGTTGAAATGTTAGACAAGATTGATGAGTGCGGTCTGACAGCTGGTGAAATTGTTGGCGAAATTCCAGTTTGAAATGTAAATTGAAGCAAACAAAGCGTATGTATGTACATGCGTATGTATTTATGTACCATCCAGGTGGAATGTTGCGTGAAGCGCTGCCGCCAAAAACATTTGTCATGCAACAAATGTAGCGGTGGCATTGTTGGCATTGGCCTGCCATGAACTTACTTGCTCGTTCGACTGGCGGTCGGCGATTTCATTTGATAAGTTTTCGTTTGATATGAATTTAAAACACATTAGAGACAACATAGAACATTTGTATATTTTCATTTATGTTTAAGATGTAGTTTTAGGTTTAACGTGAGTACCTGCAGCAATCCAATGCCGTCCAATCTCCACGGAGCCCGTAAGGCTCAACGGATCAATTCAATGCGAAGATCAGCGCCCCGAAATGCAAGCATCTCGGTACCATTTGGCAGTGCGGAATGGACACACTAACCACCTTGGTAGGGTTCGAGGCCTATCTAAACCTCTGCCGTGCTATGGGTCCGGCACCCGGTTGCAATGCAACTCCACATCGAGCCAACACGACTCTCCCCGCATTCGGGTTTAAACCACAGCCACCACGATACTCCCCGTAGGGCCAAGCCGCACGAGCAGATTGGAGCAAGCTCCAAGGGCAACTGCTCCCCGTGGTACCAGAATTAAGTCTCCGGTCAGACCTCGTGGCCGAAGCCACTACCAGTTGAGTTACCATACTACTCTGGACTGGTGGCCATCACCCCTTCCACCTTCCTACTCGACTCGTCTTCGCCTTCTAAAAACTTCACGTGCGAAATTCCTCAAGTTCGTTATCGTCAAATGTGTGGAGAGGGTACTACCGAAGTCGTACCGTCCATCCGTCCATTTTACCCCCATGCTGTCAAGATTCCTCAAGTCCGAGTATCTCGGGCATTCGCAAAGCACGTGCTCGACATCCTCAAGCTCCGCTCCACACTCACACCCCTCAGAGTCATGGAGGTTCCTCTTACGCAAATAAGCATTAAGAGGACCATGCCCCGTTAGTAGAAAATCCAAACTCAAGCAATGCCCGAAGTCCGGATTCTCTCCCATAAACCCTACACTCGGAATGAAGCGGTATGTAACACGACCATTGGAACTACCATCCCAACGCTCCTGCCACATACCACGCACTCTGTCATCCAACAACCGTTTGCACTCAAGATAGCCCCTCTCCAAGTCACCGTCCGTAACCCACCCAGTCAACGGCAACATGTTCATGCCTCTTCTCATCCTGAAGGTCACAGCTCTCGCTATAACCACCAGGTCAAGAGGAGGCACTCCCATCAATACCTGAAGCGCATCCGTAGAAACAGTGCGACACACCGGAAGACAACCCAGCAACAATACCCTCTGACAGGATAATTTATGTTTAAGGATCAAAATGTGTGTTTTTTTTAGAACTATCGTAAAAGTATGCGGTTTGCCGTTGACATTTTAAATACGTTTGAAGTTCTATTCGCCACAAATATTTCCTTTAATGTTTTGCACAAAAACACTGCCTCTGCTTTCGCTTGCTTGGAACCACTTGCGACGCCTGTATTACTGACCTCCGGTCGTAACTGCGCCAGCATTTTATAGCAGCTTATGTAGGCGCTTCCTATTGTGTGTAACATTTATGGGCGGTATGTAATTTTTCGCAGATTTAAGGGACTCTTTTTTTTTTTTGAAATTTCCTTCCGAACAAACAATCAGTGCGAAATGTGTATTTCTTTGAAACATAAAAAAGGAACAAACCAAAAAATTAACTCCTACGCCTATCAGCTGCACATTGTTTCAGCGCCGTCATTTTTACTACGCACACCGCTACAATCAGTGTCGTCATCGAAACCGCAATTAATGTGGACGTCGCCACTTCCCTAACACTTCCTCTGCCTTCCGCCCATGCCATCTACGCTAGCAAGGAGCTTTTAAGCATCGGCTTGGCTTAGACTCTCATATTTCCGTTGTTGCCTCGTCATTGCTGGCATTGTTGTTATTGCTTTGTGCTGCTGCTGTGGTGGTGCCTTATCAGTGCGAGTGCCGGGGAAATCACTATTTAAAATTGCGATGGGCTGCTAGCGACTGCCTTCGTCTCAATTACGGTGGTCTATAAGCGTAGTGTCCGTTTGTCCGCATGTCTGTTTGCATGGAAATGAGCATCCGTCCGGGTATTCCCACTGTCGCGGCGTATGCCTCCTCCTCAATTATTTTTCATTGCATTACCCACGCGGATTCTTTCCCTAGACTCGGTGGAGTTTTTATTTTTAGATTTTGCGCCTACCAAATAAAAAGCCCAGCACGTTCGTTATCGCACTCGGGTCGTTTTCCTCTGTGACTTATGTACTTTAATTGTTCGCTTTGGGCATCAAAGCTTTCAAGTAAGTATTTAGTAAATTCCGAACACCATTGCTCTTCTTTTTCCTTGATTTTTTCTTTTACATTATGTTCTTTAAAGCCGTCTCATCTGCCATAAACATTTGCCGCTTGACTACCAGCAGCTTTCTTCAGTCCTTGGATTACATAGATTTTTTTAGAGCTTCCTCTTGTTGGCCGCCCTTCTTCGTTGAGCTCCTCAGTCGCTATCACTCCACAGCATCTTTATGTTCTCAGTCATCATTTTGGCACATTTTATGTTATTAGCTCGCCGCCTCTGTGCGCCATTACTCTCAATTACCAACAACAATGTAGGCACAGTGAAGGCAATGGCTGTGTTTGTTTTTCTTGGCAGCGACAATCGTCGTCTTCACGCAAATCGAGCTGATTTTTTCCCTCCATTCTGGCATTCTGGGCAATCAGATTGCGCGCTGTACTGCAGAACTTAGCTTCCGCACGGCTCATAACGACTTTCCGTTATGGCTGGCCTTAGCGGCCGCGTGGTTGATTGCCCATTTCCCATTTCCCATTTTTGTTTCAGTTTCCGTTTCCTCTTCCCATTCGAGGCGGCGGCACAGCGATTCTTTGCCAATCTGGCGGTTTTGTTACTTTGCCTTTCCTTTTCATTGCTGGCCTTTGTTTTATATCACTCTGTGCTTTGCCGCTCTTTCTGCTATTGATACTTTGCTAGGCATAACTATTTCCTGTGCGAGTACCGTTGTTGCGCGCAAATGATTTCTAAACAAATTGCCCATCATCACAAAGGCTTGAGAGGCTGTTGTCTTCTTTTGATGATTCGAAGATTGCCACAATTTCATTGAACATTTTCTGCCTCTGCAGCAGAAATCGCGAATTTTCTCGCTTAAAAGTGGTTCATTAGCATAGCGATAGCGCCTTGTTGACGCATGTAAACAATTTGAAATACAGATGTACATATATACATACAATAGATACATATTTAGACAGTTGGACGGACATTATCTGTAAGAGATTTGTAAGGGGGAATTGATTTTTTCTTTAAATGCTTCGCATATGCAGTAAGGGCAATTGTTTCAGATAAAATTGCTTAGTAAGCATCGCTGGCAAGTGGGCTCATCCGACAGTTTTGAGTGTCTGATTGATGGGCGTAAAAAAAGAAAACTAATTTGCAACTAAATAAAATGTGGGCGATGCGGTGTTTTAGGATTTGAGAGTTGCGCCTTTTACATAAACTGAATATATAGATTTTAAAATCGTTAAGCCAGAGTCACACGATTGGTTCACTAGTACAAAGTTATAGAATTTTTTATTAGTACAAAAATAAAAAATTTGTTTAGCATTTACAGCATTGAAAAATTAACATAAACCCAGCTAGAAATTGAATTGACAAATGTAAGAAACTGTTGGCCAAAATTGGTTTACATAAAGCCTAATACATCAAAATTCCGGCACATGCCCAATCGTCTCACCCTGACTTTAGTTATGTACCCATATCGATAACAAATGTAAATTAGAAAGGGACTACGGAATGCTGTAAGATATTCCCATGATTTTGTATAAAACAATTTTAAATTTTCGATTGGTACAAAAACAAGAATACGCCCCAATACCTGTCGATTTCTATCTGGATGAAGGATTACTTGTCCTAAGCCTTTAATGATGCTTAAAGGCACGCTTGCCGCTAGCAAAGATAAAGCTAAAGACCACAGTCTTGTTAGTGAAGCTGCGAACTCGTTTCTCTTTAAATCTTTAAATATCCCTTCCATTATATATGGATCTAAAGAAACAAGAAGTTATGGTTCGATAGTAGCATTGATAGCTCCATCGACACTGAAAAGCTAAGAATGATCTGCACAAATGCCAAAGCATCGCGATTACTTTTGTGAAGCACATCTTCTCTGGCTGCAGAGAGCGGACCAGCAGACCAGGCTGTGGCAGTGGCTTCACAAATTATTTTCGAGAGCTTAAGATATTTCAATGATTCGCAAATCAAGCTAAATGTAGATGGAAGTATGCTTTCAAAAGCTTAGCTTGGTTATTCGAAGAAAATATCGATGGACACTGCCCTGCAGAGTTGGCCCTTGAGATAGGCGAGTTCGCTTAACGGGTTTCCTGAATAAAGATGGGGTATGCATGAGACCCCCAAACTGGTAATCAGAGGCACTACTGCTGCTTTATGATCGCACATTTTATCGTCTGTACCGGTGCGGTCTTGCCGTACTAAATTCAGTTCACTTTTACTTCGAAGTCCCTTAGGCAATCATACGTGGAAGGGCCAAGCACACTCACATCCTGTTTTTATTTGAATCAGCAGAAGGATCCACAAATCAAATACTTCATCAAAATTCCATTACAATATACATACATACATACATATGTACGTGCGATATAAATATGCCCAATCAATTTGTTTGCCTATCGCACCACCGATTCGCAGCAGCATGCACAACATAGCTGATACATATACATATGTATGTAGTTATCACACCAAACATACTACATACATACTACTACCCGCTGCAAGCGCACCCATCCAATTAAGCGCGATTTGTTTAATTATCACGCACATAAAATCCATTTAAGTTGCTGTTAAAGCCTCTAAATAAAATTACCTAATAAATAACCCAACAGCTGAATGAGAGCGGGAGCGAAATAATATAACGGGGGTTATGAAAATGTGAAAGAATGAGTGTGTGAGAATGAGTCGAGTTGCCCGGAAGCTTAAAGCACAACAGGAATGCGGCGCGCAAATAGTTAAATACTATGCCTCTGTTATTGAGCGTCGGGCTGCGAAGTCACCAGGGCACGAAATCACGGCTGGCAAGTGTGAGTAAATAATCAGCAGAACAAAATCATTAGCACTACATTCGCAGGCAAAGCGTAAAAGCCGGCGCAGCTCATGCGCTGGTATCAGGCGTCAGGGTTCACACGCGCGGTGGAAAGTGATACAAAGGTGGATGTGTCACGCCTGGGATTCTTGTATTTTTTTGGTTATACACTTTTCCGTTTGTTTGTTTGCTTAAGCGCTGTCACTGCCATTTAGCCCCACAGGCATTGCTGCGCTGCGGGAGGAATGAATGGAAATATATCAGCGAAGCCCATGAAATTAATTAGAACAAAAATGCGCCTATATTTGGCAAAGGAGCTTAGAGCGCTTGCCATTTGGGCCTACATCATTATTTGTTTGCCCGATAGTATCAGTTTGACTTACTAGGCTGCGTGAATTTAGCTAAATTTTGGTGTTTGTGCGGCGAGACTTTAATGTTAAAATGGGAAAACTTCATTGCGGTTTGCCGTTGAAAATCAGTTAACACGATTATCATTATCGTGTTAATGCCACATTCCTCGGGGTGGTAATATATATTTTTATATATGTATGTATAAAAATATCTACAAATATTCACCTAAGTACATAAGTACAACAAATGCTTCGAAGTATACAATTCCCGAGTTACGGAAAATAAGCGAACGGCATTAATGCCATTGATAATGAAGCAATTTGTGTGAGTGAAATTAGGTGCACGTTTTTGGAATTTTATTAAAACAACTAGCTGGAGCCACTTTTCCGATTCTTCAATTAAGAATGCGAAATGATTTTTCTGCCATTACTGCACTACTTTTTTTCATAAAAGTAGAATCGAATCAATATTAAGACCACTCTTTTTATTTTATTTTCCATCTATCCCAGAAAATTGTTAGTTAGATAGGCCTTCTCGAGCGAAGTAAGTCTAAAGGACTTACCACAGAAGGACTGAAAAAATGCTCCCTGCATGCTGCTTTATTATTTACTCGAATATAAAAATTAAAATAAAAAAAATTAAAATGAATTTAACAAGCATTTTATGTTGCAATAAAACATGTTTGATATTTTATTACATTAA